TCTCGATAGCCTACCTGAACAAAATGCTAAATCAAGAAGCAAAGTCAATAATCTTCTACTGCCGTATATCTTACGCGAAATTAAAAATAGCCCACTCTCTCAGTTTCTGTCCACATGAGTTTAATTTTTTTGCTCATACGTCACAAATATTCAAAGTATGATTGTCAATTGCATGCCATTTATCTTAGAATGCCTTCGGGTCCATGGAAATATAAGTTTGGAAATTTTCAATTTGAAATAAACACACTTGTCTCCCAGAAATTTCACTTGAATTTGACGCACGTGTTGGTCTGAAAAATCCCCCCTGTAAGCATATTGCAACAACATCAATCCAACGACAATTTTAAAATCTCATAATTATGATGAAGTTGATATTTATACAAAAATACGCCGTGGTTATTGGCCTCGTAAGCAACTGTTAATAGCTTTTATGGTCTTAAAACTGTACCAACATAAATCCTAACATCGGACTTAATCTCACCCAAAGTATCATCGAAACGGTATGATTAATCATTGATCTCTGAGTTTGAGTTAGAAACAACGCAAAAATGCATCATTTAAAGCTGTATTAAATATATTAAGATCGATTATCTCCCTTTACTCGAATAATATAAATCTGACCTACTTCAGAAGTTATCTTTTTACTAAGCTCGTGGACATCTGAAAGGTATTCAAATTTAAAATCTGGGCATATCCTCTTTTTTTTACTATGAAAAGATGATAAATGTTGAGGAAAATAAAATTTGGGCACACCCACTAACAATTTAAGGAAAGATGTAAAATATTCTCAAAAAGACTACTTAATCTTCCGTATCACGTTCAACAAAGTGAATTTGTTATAGGCCTTTTTATTTAAGCAACTCGCATACACACTTATCAAAGTGAGCATTTTGGTACGATTCGATTTAGATTCAAGATGGCGGGAAACAATGCTATCAAGTAAGTACATTTCTAGAATTTGTTCTGATAGTATTGGAGTGAGGACAAAAATATTATTTTTTTTTTACCAACGTTTGAATTTGTATCACAACAAAGAGCAACATCGGTAGAAGAAATTATTCCATTGGCAGATTTAACTGTGTCCAATCCAAAAATAAACAGTCAGCTATTCAATAATCTGTTTATTTGAAAGGGAGGACAACTCGATACCAGACCAACTTGACTAAACAAACAGAACGGCAAGAGTTTTATGGTAAAAAAATCGTGGGGGTTTAAATTCTGGAGTACACTGGCTTATTTGGTAGGTTACTTGACAAGCGAGAACCAGGAATAAAACTTTTCTGTCTCATCAATACAGCAAGTGTAATTTTGTTTTTGCAGTATGCCTTACTATAGAAATATTCAATTGGTGGCTTTTATTGGAATAAAAGCCTATCCCTGCTTGCAGTTACTTGTCAGTGCATGATTTGTTCATTCATTTTCTTTCTTTTTCATGTGGAGAAGTCAACTTAGGACTCAATCCTACAGTCAGAATCGCGTGACAAAATCGATTTAATGTCAAAAGTCATAAAATAGTTAGGCTATAGTAGAAGTGGTGGTATAAAGTAAATGTCTGATGAAGCTTATTACTTTGTGTTTTTGTCCGGCATCTCAAGTGCTTTTTATTTGTTAAGAATAATAGTTACGATTGATATCTATTTCAGATGCTGCTGACTTGAAAAACTCCTATAAAGAGTTACTGATAGATTCTTATAATTATTTTCCAAATCTCTGTGGAACCAAGTCTAGGATTCCTCTCTGTTTTGTGGCGGTCTTTTCAAATCTGTGATTTTTGCTAAGTAATAATTATTAAAAAAGATGATCTATTGAATTTGTTGGGACTGGAAAACCAGTCTAAAAATAATCGGGAAAATATATCAAAAATGCCTGATACCTTTTAGCTGCAATCATGACATCCTAGTTCGAAAACCAATTTGTCTAATAATTTGTAATTTCAGTTTCGGAACAAATGCCGCACAGAGCAGTGTTGCTGTTGATTGAAATATATAGAAAAAATGTGCAAAAATGGCAAAGAATACGATTTGGCAGAAAATAGCCTACAAGAAAAAGATTTTCAATTTTCATCCGTGTCGACCTGTGATAAAAATTATAATCCTTCTCAAGCTTAGTTTATGGACCATTATCTTTTTCCAAACTCTGTTGTTCTTGTGGAAGCAGATTTAGAATCGAGTTAAATGCTGACTCTTTTGAAAATACTCTTTCCTTCTTACAATCACAAGTTTGTGAATCATCATAAATAGCTGTATCATGCCACAGTTCAACAATGTTTGAGTATTGGGGCATACCTTGTAGTGTTATTGGTAACATACACATTTGTTTTGAGCGATGTTCACCTGGTTTTGGGTCATTGTGATATTTTAACCGTACAAGATTATCCAGCATTAAAATCATGTAACAGTCTCGTAAACTTAAAGGTTTGGTTAATTCTCCACAAATTGAGCTATATGTCATAGAATATTCTTTGATGAATGTTTGATAATATAATTGATCATTCATAGTTTTCAAAATGACACCTTCTCTGCAAAATTTAATGAAGTATTTAGTCCATATTTGCTAGTTGTCTTAAAAAGACTGCTGATACTGTAATTCATAAGGAGGTCATCTGTGATCTTTTGAAGGAATATACCAATGAAATTCTTATTTAGATTCTTCAACAACATGTCATATATGAGATACAGACGTTCTTACT